ACATTACACATTGCTGTCTTCATTGTAGTTGCTCAGATTACAGCGACAAGCATATAAAACTGGTCAAAATAAAAATTTTAAGCATTAAGTACTACCTTCAAAAACTGATAGAAATTAGTAACTAAGTTACTAATTAAGTACTGATTAAGTCACTAATTAAGTAACTGATTAAGTTACTAATTAAGTACTACCTTCAAAAACTGATAGAAATTAGTAACTGATTCTGCCTTTTTGTTAAACATCTACAATCTTGACTATGCTGTGTTGTGGAGAGCTTTCTTCATAGTCATTCCTGGGGATGGAACCCCTAATAGTAATTAGTAAATTGTTTCCACGCTCTGGTAGCTAAAATCATCTTAGCTATTCTGTGTCTATACAGGCATGATGTCATCTCCTTCCTCTTCTTCCTTACCTCTTCTCCTCCCCCCATTCCAACTGTGTATTCCTTAGGTTCTGTCTCTGTCATTGTGTTGACGCTCCTTTGATCTTTCTGTGTCCAGCAGTGCTTCATGAAGGCAGGCGCCCCTAGCCTTGGTGCACTGATTGTCGTTACCTCTTCCTGCTAAACTGTTCTCATAACTAGGGCGTAGTGACTTTCTTTGCCTACAGTTTTTTAAAAGTTTATTTTATTTCACTTATTTTTGCCTACAGTTTCAGCTGAAAGTTTGCCTTGTATAACAATAAAATTGGCTTCTTCTTGCCATTGGAAGCGCTGGTGTATGGAATATTGTTTTCCACGCTCTGGTTTTAAATCTACACATTTCTTTTTTGGATTGTTGAGTTCTTTGAATACAATAAGCTGTTGAATTATGTTATTTGATCCAGGTTGCAAGTCAATGTCTTTTAATTGGGGAGCTGGAGTGATTCACATTCCAAGTTCTTACTGAAAAAGTATTGACTTATTCCTGTGATTATGTTCCTTTTCTGTTGTTGACTCCTTTATTTTTTCTTTTTTTGTTAAGCTACTCGTCTTGCTTGATGTATTCATTCCATTTAACTTTCTGACTTTGTTTTCTCTGTCTAGGATATTCTTGAGTAATTTTGGAATGCTGTTTAGTGTTTTTTTCTTTTTCTTTAAATTTGGTAAAAGGTCTCACTATGTAGCTCGGCCTCACAGTGATCCTGCC